AAAGCACAAGATGATTTTTATCATGATGGTCTATGGCTTGAAATTTATTTAGAAGATACGAAGAATCAGATAATAATTCTGGCTCTGATTTATCCTTATTACATGATTATGCCTTCTCCTTGAAATTGGTCTGATGTGCAAGATAATGCCAGCCATGCACTGGCATTTCCAAAGCGTCAGGTAGGCAAGTCCTGTATTGGTGCTTCTAGAATATTAGGTAGACCAGCACTTTCTTCCACTGTAAATTTTATTTGGTATTAACCATAATCTTTATTGTTGTTCTAGCCTCATTATGTACCAGACAACTACAAGAGAAATGGAGGCAGGTGAGTCGTACCTACCAGAATGTTAGTTGAGAAGAGATGAGATAATCTGTTGGGTTGTCAAGTGTCCACTCTTTTTCCTACCCATTTACCTTGGGTGCCATGGAAATAATAAATTTAAATTGTTTAAAGCAATCCTCTAAACTCTCAAAGAGATAAAAGGGAGCCAGTGAGGAGGAACAGAATATAGAAGCAGCCTTAGTGTTCTTTAATAATGTATGTAAGGAAGAGGACAGAACCCATTTTAAAAGTTAGCAGAAGGAACTGAATGTGGGAGATGGCAGAGCCCAGGACAAGAGCACCCAGCCTTCCTGCACACAGGGAGAGCAGATCCCTGAAGGGACTCCTTGTCACAGGGCCAATGCCCTCTCTCAGTTCTCTTAGAGACTTTAAAAATACACATCAAGAGCCATGACTGTTGCAAACAACATCAGTAAATGCTGAGCTCAACTATTTTGGAAGATAAAAAAACCTTTACAAATTGAAATTAAAAAGCAATTTGTTTTTCAAAGTCTACATTTGATGTTATGCAAACACGGTTATAGGAACGTAGCCTCCCGTAGATCGTAACGGTGGGTTTGAATGCACGCGTGAAGTCATACGACTGAGATTCCAGAATGACCTTTACCTGCTGAGAAGTCCTTGACTCACTAATAATTGGCCTTTCAGGTGAGTGTCTGAAAAAATGTGGTATTTAAACCCTTCTTTTCCTGCTAGGTCGTCCTGGAAAACAGATCGCTCAAAACAACAGATTAAAGACTTAAACCAAGAAGAAGATTCTCTTCCACTTATTGAGGATGTATTAGGAAACCAAGAGCAAACTTCAAGTGAGATGCCTAGTCTAGAGGAGCCAGAAAAAGAGGCAGCCTCTAGTGAGACCTGTGAAACAGATAAAAAAGTGGAAGAAAGCAATTCTGACACCAGGCAGCTGTGCACTCCAGAGGAAAGGCGGCATGTTCAGAGAGAGAGACTTAATCAAATCCTGCTAAACCTGTTAGAGAAAATCCCAGGGAAAAATGGTGAGATTTTATGCATTTCTTCTATAGCTTTGTTTTTAGTTTGCTGCAGGCAGTGTTGATAAAATAAATACTTTTGTCAGAATATATTGCTAGTGGACCTTATTAATATAATGAGTTGTCTTTGGAGTAATGTTTTCTTTTGCAGTAGTAGCAATTTCCACTAATTCCAAATGAAATTTCTTACAGCTGACACAGTGTTTTGTATAGTATTTTTAGTAACCACAAAAACTTTCTGAAGACAAATTCTCCCCCATCGTTCCATGTTTACAACTGAGAAACTTAACAGACTTGCAAAGAAAGATTGAAGAGAAATTGGAAAGTCTCCTTTGACCTTTAATGAGCTTTCCACTGGGTTCTAAGTAACTTCTGTAGGCACAGTCTAAGCTGTAGAGCAAGGGTGCAGCAGTAGCACTGTTTAAGTATGGCTCTGGTTTTAATTTAAAGCCTGAGCTTTAATTTAAAGGATGAGCTCTGTCCAGTCTCTTTCATGTTCTGGGAGTTAGTGCAAAATAATCATGGACTCATAGAATAATTTGGGTTGGAAGGATCTTTGGAGGTCATCTGGACTCCAAGCAGGACTTCAAGCTTCAATCAGGTTGCTCAGCACCTTGTCCAGTGGACTTTTGAATACAACTATGGATGGAAACATCCTTGAAAGAACCACGAATAGGAAAACTGGTCCTCATATCACCTTCTTTACCAAAAGCCTGTGATCTCTTGCAGCTATCGATGTCACTTACTTGCTGGAGGAAGGATCAGGAAGAAAACTGAGGCGACGCACCCTCACCATCCCGGAGAGCAGCTTCAGGAAGTGATGCCAGGAGAGGAAGCTGTGGTCTGGAGTCTGCTACAAGGTCTGCTGAGGACTGAGGGCAGGAGCCCAACTTCCTCTGCACCAGCCAAGGAAAAGAGGGCAGCAGAAAACTGACAAATATACAAACAGTTAGCACTTAGATGTCTGGGTTGGCAGGTTGCCCTGCCCTGCTCTGCAGTGCTCTTATGGTGTGTGTGTTGTTGGGCGTGCCTTGTATTGATGTTAGGTACTGAGAAAAACCTCGTGGTTATTGTCCAGGATGGTCAAATTTAATTTATTTTTTCTTGATATTCCCACTCAGAGGAAAAAAAATTTAAAATAAATAAATAAATGGGGAGGTAAGAATGATAAGGACTGACTTACTCTGTTGAGAATATTCCCCATGTTCACCATTTAACCTGTGATTGTACAAGATACTGTTGGCACCACCATGGCCCAGGCCAGTGAATGAAATCCAGATGGGGAGGTTGAAGGCCCAGTGGCTTAAAATGAAAGGCTGCCCTAAAGTTGTGGCCTCTGATTTGCACAAGTTCCAAGAAGAGAGAAACATACCCAAACGTGCGAAAGGTTCACCATGGAGCGGCCAGTGCACACATGTACCTTTGATCTGTGACAAGGAGAAACTTCCAAAGTCACCTTGGAGCAAAGCAGGAGTTGGCTGGTTGAGGCACTTGTTCTGCGTCGTAGAGGGGGGGAGGGAGCGGGGTGTGATTTTTTTTTTCACTTTTTTTCTGCAGAGAAATTTTATAAAGCAAGTCAAATCCTGACAACACCATTGCTGTTGGTTTTTTTGATAAGCTGTGGTTCTTGTGTGTCTAGTGTGTTGTGCAAATTAAAATCTGTTAAAAGAAAAAAGAAAAAAAAAAAAAGGAACCCTTCACTACATGAACCGTCAAGCAGTATTCAGAGCGAGTATTTGTTGTGAACTGTAGAATATTATCAACTGCTAACACTATTCTTGTGTTCTGGTTGTACAGCTTAAAATGTCCGTCTCTTAAATTAAGAGACAGCGTATCTCGCGCCGCCCTCTCTCTCTGCCCTGACGAGAAGTATTATTCCTGAAAGCAGCAGCCGAGGCGCTGAGTTCCCGCTGCGTGACCCTGCGATTGCCATATCGTCCCGGGAACCGGCGCTGCGGCTGGGCTCCCCGTGCTGCACCGACGACCTTCCCGCCTGCGGAGGCCCGAAAGCGGGGGCCAGGGCCGGGCTGTGGCGGAGGGAGGGGGTGGTTGGCGTACGCTGCCCCTTGAGAAATGGCTTTGCTTTTTTGTCTTTCAGACGTACATATGCATATACAGTCCTGTTTTAGATGTTCTTATAAGAAAACCAGTTTTTAATGTGCCAAGTTGTATATATCTGCTGCGTGGATGTAAAGCAATACGGTAGTTACATGTTCCTTTTTAATGGACCAAGCTTGTCCTAATGTACATTCTTGTTATTATTATAATTATTTTACTCTTAGTGGAACATGACTCATTCCATTAACTTTTATGTGTTGATTTAAAAAGAGAAAAAAAAAAAAAAAAAAAAAGAAAGGAAAAAAACCCTTTGAGAAAAAATATTTTATTAAAAAAAAAAAAGAAATAAGAAAATAGTTTGGAATATTTTCTTACTGTAGAGAAGCACTGTACAGTACCAGGAACCCTGAGTATAAAATACTCGTGCGTGTAGTAGGAATATCGCATGTCCAAATCTTGAGTTGTCTCCTTTAGTTTAAAACAGAAATCATTGTCTCAAATGGTGTTAAACACTAAAAAGTTTTTAAAAAATAAAGTGCGTACAGAAGCGAGACACTAGCTCTGTCATTTTATCTTTCTTTTGTTGAAAGACTAAACAAAATGTTTTTTAGACAATCAAATGTTAGGTAAGTGCAAAGAATTGTTTTTCTTACTGGTGTAGAAATTAATGACTTTTTTTATTTTTCGGTTATTTTATAATAACGAGAAGACCAGTGTGTCACCAGGATCGCTGTTTTAAGACCAGGAAGCACTACATTATTGCAAATAGATATGAACTCTTAGTCTGCATGGGTGTAGGCTGTGTGATTGCTGAAAATAAATGCTGCTAATATATTTCCTTTTTACAAAGCATATCTAAATAGATCATTGTTTTGATGTTAATCTTTGTAAATTATGTATTACCAATTTTAACATTGGATGTAATTGCATAAAAAGCCTGCATCTCAATCCTGAGAGAGTCTAGTATTAAATGGAAAATCTTTTCCTATCGATGACTTGTGGGGTTTTCTTTGGCATGACTTGGATTCCCTTTTCTTGCCTCTCTGTCTCAACTGCTCCTCTCATGTTCTGACTCTCTTACAGCCTCTGACGGGGGTTGTTGCCCCGACTCTCAAATATCCACTTGGCTGATGGGTGGTTGTGTTGAACGAGGACATAATTTGATGCTGATGGTTCTCCTGGTCAGACCTCGGCAGAAGGGGTGATGGCAGCATGCGCAGAGAGAGACAGGAGCGTCAGTGCAGACATTGTTTGGTAGTCAGAGGCTGTGTAACCGTGAGCGGATATAACAGCAGGTCGGTACGTGACCCATCAAATCTATGGATTTAGTGCCTGTTCCTGGAATATAAACCCCTGGTACCTAGAGACGGTGCCTCCCGTGCCCGCATAGCCAGAAGATTCCATTCTGTCAGCATCATTCCCACATCTTGCAGTGGCAGCACACTTACACCACCAGTATCGGACCAAGGTCATGGCAGACAAATGACTCATACCACAGGCCATGTCCCCTCTCTTACCAAAACGTCAGGTGAGCCAAAAAGGCTGAGAGGCGTTCCGAGCTGTTGGCATGATCATGTACCATCATCCTGCCCTGTTCTGACCAGCAGGATGCTGAGGAACATGGAAATGGAATCACAGAATCGCTTGGCTGGAAAAGCCCTTTGAGAGGGAATGCCCTGAAGCTGCGCCAAGGGAGGTCGAGGTTGGATACAAGGAAAAAATCCTGTGAAACTTGGGGACATGCTTCAGTGGTGAATGTGGCAGTGCTGGGTTTACAGTTGGACTAGATGGTCGTCATGGTCTTTTCCAACCAAACTATTCTATGATCCTGTGATCATCAAATCCAGCCGTACCTGTCCACTACTAAACCATAACTTGTGTCCCTTCAAACCAGCCTTTCTAAGGCTTTGTCAACCTCGCATTTCCTCCACTACCCTCTGAAGGACCTCGAGATACAGTCCTTCAAAATATTTTAAAGTTTAAACTTCCTCTCGTTCAAAAGTGGTTTCTGGCAATAAGTTTCGTAACTATTTGTGTTACTCGGGAATGAAATAGCTCATTGATGACACTCCTTTAATGTAACTTGATTTTTCTTTTTCCATTCCCAAGCCTGAATCTCTATGGTCATCAAAATGCCATGCTTGACCCATACACTTGTCTTCCTTTTAGAGACACCACATGAAGGATTGTAGTGCTTTTTTAATTTAAAAAAAAGTTGAAAAAGTACCTGGATTCATCTCCTGCTGGCTTGACCCCATTTTAAAGTCCAGAGGCAGCTGTGGAATTTAATCAAACCTACTTAAGGCAAGCCAAGTTAAGATATAATGTCCCTTGTCTGAGCATAAAAATTCCAGAGAGAGGAATGAAAATGAGAACAGAATAAAAAGGGAGCAGCTTTGTCTTTGGAGCAGAACACGGCCCATTGGCTGAAGCGTGGTCACCTTTGCCGCTGAAACAGTGGAAATTTGAAGGATGAAATACGGTTCTTGGTCCATAGGAGACCACTGGCCCCTGAGACAAGCTGCCATTGCCTTGTGGCCTTTCACTGGACGTGCTCCAGCATGGCCACATCTCTCTTACTGGGGAGCCCAGTGCAAAGTAAGTAGTTTGGTATGAAATCACAAGCAATGAGAATAACTTGGGGGAAAAAAAGGGGGGGGGAGAGGGAAAGTGCCATCCAGCCCTATTGAAATCCTATAAATAAATAAACAAACCAGCAAACACCTTCAGCGGTGCTGTGCAGCCTCCATCTCATGGGGCCGGTCACCAGCCAGCCAGCGTGACACACACCTTTCCCGGGTTATTTCTGGCTCTAGATATCTCCAGCTGCCTCTTCCCACACTGTGTAGGAGACTGGGCGCCTTCTGCCAGGGCACAACGCCGTGCTGGGCTCCATGGTGGATACCTGACATCAGGGCACTGAGCACCAGCATGGCCCCAGCCCGTGCTGTCTGTGCCTGCAAGAGCATTTACTCACCAGAGACCCAGCACCAGCCCAGGCTGCCCACACAGGGACGGGAGCCGTGGCCACTTCCAGCCCCTCCAACCGCAATGATCCATTCACACACATGGACACGTGAATCACAACCTTTATTTCCAGCTTTTTAGCTCTGGAATACGCTCGTTCCTGTGGTTACAACTATTTACAGCGTGTCAGGACTGCGCATCGGTGGCCTGGGCCACCAGCCCCGGCCACAGGGCAAAGCAGGGCATGTGGAGGTGACAGCAGTGGTGGGACACGATGGCACAGAGATGACATACGGGACTGCAAGTACCGCGCAGGGACAAGGGTCCTTCCCTCCCCTGGCACAGGCGTGGGCAGCAGCTGAGGAAACATCGAGCAGGTCCCAAACGGGGGCCACGGTGAAGTGGCAGCAGATCTGCCGGGACACGCACAGTGGTGGCTCACAGGGTGCACCCACAGCAGACGGTAACGTCATGTGAACGAGCAGCAGTGACAGCACCAGGGCCAGGTCCCCTGCAGAACTGCCAGCCCCAAAAGTGGTGAAGCCCCAAAGGTGGTGAAGACGTGGCAGGAGATGATCCTTCCTGGAGATGGCACCTGCTTCATAAGCTCAGCTGCTTCCTCAGGTCTCCTCCACCTCCTCACAAAATGAGGGATGTGTAGCCAACAGGAACTAGGCCAGTGCTGTTTCCATGGCAGCAGCGGATCCAGTCTTCATCCACAGTGGAGAGCAGCTGCAGGATGTCCCCTTTTTGGAAGCTCAGGTGACCATCACCAGCGCCTGTGTGGTCACACAGTGCCCGAACTGCCCTGCACAACAACCGCCATCAGGGATTCCTCTCCCCAGGGACCCTGGGGATCACCAAGAGAAGCTCCCACAGGACCCAGGAGAGGTTCTGACGCTCCTGTAAGGCCAGTGACCCCCTGTCCTGCAGCAGAGATGCCATCTGATGGGCTTGATCGAGAAGCCACATCA